CCCCCCCTCTTCCCCTTCATCTTCATGGTTGAAGAGTATGCCAAGCTAGAAACTAGCAGAAGCAAGCAGCTATCTAAGTTGGATTAGAGGTTTTGCCCTGTAGTAACAGAAGTAGTCAATGATAAGACTGCAAGCTGTTTCAACAAGTCCTGTGGTTTCCCATGTTGAGTGAATACTTGAAAATATTTGTTTTCAAATATGCATGCCATACATTAAACTCAAATTGTATTTATTAGGAGTGAACAAAAATAATGTTTTCCGATTTCTGTTTATTTTTTGTAAACAGCCATTAACCAGTCAAGAGTTTCTTTCCCGTGTTCTTATCTCTCCCGCAGTGACACATTAAATTCCCCCAGCCATTTAAATTTGTCACTGCGGCATTTAATTTTATAATAGTTGCTTCCTTTTTAAAATGCAATATCTCTATCATGTGTTATTATAAAATTATGGATCAAGAAGCCTCTAAAGACCAATTATCAAACTTCACATACCTTTATTTTCATTCCTGTAGCCATTACATTAAAGTTTATGAACTTTTTAGTAAAATTCTGTACTTTTGGCTTTATTCTCAAAAAATCCACCACTGTCACCACTGACTTTCATTTCTGTTAGACTACATGATCTCATACATATGCCTGAGTCATTCGCATTCAGTATACATGGTTTTGACCAGCATGTTCTCTTTAGAAATGAAACATGATCATAGTAGTCTAATGACAAATCTGTCTTGGGGGGGAAACACACTCCCCAGCTGGCTTATTGTTACACTGTGGATTCCTAATTGACAAACAGAGTTTCTTATTGCCATGTGGTAAGCTCAAGGCTAGTATGAATGAATGAACTGAACTCCTCTTCCAAACATCACTGCAAAATCAATACCTTTTACAGATTATGAAATCATCACTAAAACGATTATACCACTGGAAACATTGCTGCAACTCAAGCGGTAGATGTTGTGAATACTTTATAATTATGTATTTTTCAATACCAGTTCAGGGAAGGGGGCTAGATTTTAGTGTTAGATTAGGCATGTTTCTAAAAATTTTTAGGCCATTATGATATGATATGATTGCTGTTTTATTATAAATTATCAGCTTGAAGGTGTTGATATAATCTCCTGAAACATTTCTGAAGTATTATGTGTGGTAGATTTTCAGCACCCCACTCCTTTTTTTAAGGATGTATTTTCGAACTTCTTTTTTCATTAGTCATCCTTAGAAGACATTTAAACCTACTCAGATTGTTTTGAATTATATGTATCTTCAAATATTGTAACTCATGCCTCCTCTCCATATAGCAGTCATGCTGTATTGAAGGTTTTAAGAAAAGTAGTGATTTTTGCTATGCTCAGAATCCCTTTTATAATATTTGTTGTTTTGCACAGAGAAGAAGAGCATTTCGGCGGAGGACTTGGTGTGGTCATGCTTCTCGTAAATCTTCACTTCAAATTATCCCAGCTCTTGAAACCATTGATGAAGGGGCAGCATGCTTATCACCAGTCTTGGAACAAGACTGTATATCTTCTTCAATACAGGAGCTGGCAGAAAATAGTAAGCCTCTCAATATTTATATGTTGGGTGTGCATGCACCTAACACATCTCTCTTGCCAATATTTGTCAGAAGAATGGCATACAATGTCTTGATCAATCAAATGTGTTTTTGATTTTGGTTTTCAGAACTAGACCATGTCCAATGTTTAGGGTTTTCCAATATTTCAGCAAACCTTATGTTTGCCATCTTCATGAAGTTCAGTGAAGAATATATTCTTATTTTCAAACACTTGTTACTAAGCCTATGGAGCATATTCTCATTGCGTATTAATATTTTTACCCTCTGTCTGTAGTATAAATATAAGACAAGTTTGCACTTAAATTTTGGAGAAATTACCTGTCTTACTGAAAAAATATTTTCTTCCTGCATTCACTATTAGAACATTGAATATGTTCCTTAATAAGAAAAGGCCTTGTAAGATCAGTGTTTACATTAAGATCGGGGCCCATCAGTCATTGTATTTAGACTGGGTAGGGTAATCACAGCTCATTTATTTTTTCCACTGGACTTCAGTGTCAGGCTACATTACACAACACAAGTAAGAGATACTGGGTTTTCGGACCTTGTTCATCGTCTGGATTCCAAATAGCTAAGAAAAAACTACTCAATCACTGGATCAGTCATTGAGGATAGCTCTTTCTAAGGGACCCAACAGAGTAGGTATCTTCCCTCACCTGAGGACGGAAACAGATCCAGTTTCCGAAACATATTTATTCTTAGTTATTTAGAATCCGGACGATGGACAAAGTCCGAAATCCCAGTATCCCTGTGTGTTATACACCATCGTCAGAACCCTATAGTATCTACTAACACAAGTAAGGTCCTGTGATTTAACCCAGCTGTTCTCCAGGTGTGGTCTATGGATACCTAGGGATCTATGATGCCTGGCCACAGGGTCTGTATGATTATTTAAGTCAACAAGAAAGAATACTGTAATGAATATTTCTGTTATTTTACAAAATCTGTTTATATGGAATAACCATATAACAAATATTTTGAACTTGAGATTCCATGCAGGTATCTATGCTGGTTACATAGTGCTGGCTTAGCCATTTTTGTTATTAAATGAAGGAGATACGGAAATACATTGCAACATATATTGAACACTTTGTAAATATGGTACAAGCATTAAAATATTTTAAATACATTATTTTATTTCAACCTATTTTAAGTCGGTCTTTTGATAATTTAAATGTGAAGAGATGGAGGGTCTTTGAGTGTGCAGTAAGTTGGTAGGTGGTCTGCAGGGGGAGATTGGGGGAGGACTCCTTGAGTGTGCATTGTGTTTTAAGGGGTTCCACTGACTCACAAAGCTTGAGAATCACTGGTTCATGAAGTTAATGTGAAAATAATAATGACGTACATTTTTCTGTAATGACAGTTATGTTGGTGAATATTATTGTAGCATGTAGACTCATTGCTAGCCAGGCACTAGTGCCCAAATGGACTGGCTTAGTATCGATCACATGGGAACCCCAACAGACATGAACACAACAATGGTACAGCACCAGAGAAATGGTGTTTTCTACTCGGTCCATGCAAAGGGATTATAGGGAGGACAGTTGAAGCGAGAATAGTAAGTTGAAAGGGAACTGCAAGTCAGAGAGGACTTGAGTCCAGAGGCAGAGGAGTAGTTCTTGTTGCAAACCGTTACCAGGAAACGTCTAGTATATGTACAGATATTTTGTTTTGGGCCATTGTCCATCGTCTTGTCTTTGTCTAAAAGCCAACATGTTTATTTTTCAAAACACAATGTTTCAGAGACTGGATTCTATCTCTGTTCAGGTAAAACCTACTCATTTGAGGCCAATCAATAGAGTTAGTTGCTATCTCCGGACAACTATGCCAGCTTCAACATGAGGTACATAAATCAGACAGCACAAACCATCTGTGAGAGCTAAGAAGATATTAAATTATTGAAACTCCACACATATGAGGCCTTGCACCAGACAAGTATCTCGATTGAAATCATCACTGGAGAGAAGCAATACTTTTTATGGTACCAACACAAGAAAAACAAAATTGTTCACTCCAGCTACACTTGACAGTATTGTAGTCTCTTGACTTCTGCTGTGGTAACAGGGGTCCAGATGGGAGAGATGTCCAAACTGGGTTGACTGATCAGATGGTCTAGCACAGACATGTGGGCAGATTCCTTGTATTTCCTGTATTTGGTGTTGGGCTCAACCTGCAAGACCTTTGCTTCATGCCAACATATTTTGTGGCCTTCCTTGTATGAATGTTGGGCTAATTTTGAGTTTTCCAGCAAACCCCATGTCAGGTTATATTTGTCTTAGAGAAATCAAAACCTTTCACGTCTGACATGAGGAGGGAATTTATGGCATTAAAATCCCTATGTATGTATGTATGTAAGGGTTGGGCCATAAAATCCAGCCCCCACAGTGCAACCTTAAATGATCTATTGTGCTACCCCTTGGATTTTCCCTTTATTAATCCCACACTTTTAATAAACAGTAGGACCCTGCTTATGGGGGCATCATAAAAGTCACTTGGTTCCATAAAAAACTGACCCAAGTGATGAAATCTTAAATAAGCTATGGCCTCACAGTCACACAGGATGTGTGTGGCTGATTAATTTTCCTGTAGGCACCTTTCACAAGTTGGGTTATGTGTCAGTCCCAACTTGAAAAGGTGTCCTTTCAGGTGTCAGTGTCTGGTAAGTAATCATACCACCAATTTTAGTTGATCTCTGTTTGATCTCAACAGATCCTTCATTCTTCTGGCAGAGGGTCTGCTGTAAAACCCTTTGCCTGTTTGAGTCCAATTATGGATTCCCAGTACTTTTTATAGTTTCTATGAGTGCAGTCCCTGATCGCTTTTGTGGCAACTCCATGAGATGCCGTAAGCTGGTTCAGGTCCTATGAACGGCTGTTCAGATCCTGTTCTTGCCAGTTGATCTGCAGTTTCATTCCCTACAATACCCTCATGACCTGGCACCCATATCAGTTGTACTCTGTTATGTCTGGCCAGTTGTATGAGGGATTGGTGACAGTCCCAAACCAATTTTGAAGTGATTTGATGTGTACCAAGTGCTTTAATTGCAGCTTGACTGTCTGATAGGATATAGATGTTCCTATTTCTATAGTTCCTATCTAAATTCTGAACTGCGCATGCCTTAATGGCATACACCTCTGCCTGGTATACTATTGTGTACTGATGAAGGCTGAAACTACGTTTTTGCCTCATTCCATCACAATACACTCCAGCTCCAGTGCCTTTATTTGTCTTGGAACCATCTGTGTATCAGATTAGTCCCCCCTTTCTATCAGGTTGAAACCCCTCTTTCCATTCACTTCTATCAGGAAATCTTATCGTGAAGGGTATATCATAAACATGTTTCAGTAGCATTTTATCAGATCCCATCTTTAGGATGGGTTCTTTTTTCATGTCCCAAGTCATGTATGCATGCCCATTTAAGTCTCCATTGTTCATTGCAACATAATCTGTAATTTCCTAACTTGGCCTCTGCTTCCGTCTGCAAATGCAGTTGTACGAGTCCTAGTACAATTTACATTGCAGCTGTTAGAGCTGTTCTCATTGCTCCTGTAAATCCCAAGCAGGCTGTCCTTTGCAGTTTGCTAAGTTCTGCCTGACTTGTTTTGAGTTTGATTCTAGGCCACCATATAGGGGTGGCATAGGTGATAATGGGTGTTACCACTGCAGTGTATGTCCCTTGGTGTCAGTCCCCACATCTTCCCAAATGTGCCTCTGCATGTCCAGAAGGCTTTATAGGCCTTGTTAATAGCCTTATCCAGCTGTTGTTTCCATTTCAGCCCCTTGTCTAATGTTAATCCAAGGTACTTGACTTCACGGATAGCCAGCTCGCTTTACTGAAGAGTATTGGTTCTTTGAGCCCCTTTATATCCCTCTTCCTAGTAAAGGGTACAATCACCATCTTGTTTGGATTGATAGACAAGTTTGTCATTTTGCACCACTGTTGAACTGTATACAGGGCTGTTTGTAAGACCTCTGATGCAGTGTGCGGGCGTTTCCCATTGATTAGGATTGCTGTACATCAGCATATCCTACTGTGAAGTGGCTTGTACTGAAAAAGATCATCTGTGACCAGGCTCCACAGGAGAGGGGAAAGAACACCCCCTCACCGCAGACGCTCTCAGGGACTCCTGATAATGTAGTACTTATATTCCTACTATCCAGCATGGCACAGATCCATCTGCATATTGTAGGCTCAATGCCATGCCTTTCAGCAGCCTTTTTTATTGTATCTGTCAAACGCTCCCTCTATGTCAAGGAATGCTCCAAGAGCAATATCCTTATGTTCAACAGCATTCTCTATGCGTGTTACTACATTATGCAATGCAGTTTCACTAGATTTACCTATTTGGTAAGCATGTTGGTTTCGGTGCAGAGGATGAATTTTCAATGCACCGTCCCTAATATGTCTATCTACCACTTTCTCCATCATTTTCAAAAGGAAAGACAGCAGGCTTATGGGATGATAAGCTTTAGCCTCTGTACAATCAAGTTTCCCGGGCTTTGGAATAAACGTCACTTTAACTTGCCTGCAAGCCGCTGGGATAAACCCATGTGCCATGCAGGCTCTAAATATGCGGCATAGGTGTGGGACTAAGTGTTCCACCCCTTGTTGCTGAAGTACTAGTACAATACCATCTCTTTGATGGTATGAAGGTACCTAACGCCCAACTGATTTTTGATTGATTGATTATCTGACCAACCAGGTTCAAGTCTCCCCTGTTCATTTTGTATCCACATACGTCCAGGTTCTGCTGGCCCCGTTCAACAACTGAATCATCAATCAACCTTGAATCTGGGAAGTTAACTCTGAACAGTTCCTTCAGTGGCCCTTCTCCAGTTTTAGTATACTTAACATTAGGTAGCTTGATATTACTGACTTTGTTGGTCACCTATTTTACCATGACCTTCATGAGTCTGGCACTGTCCGATATCATTGATCTCCTTGCAGTACCTCCTCCATGAGGATCGTTTAGCTTTCCTTATCTATTTATTGTAACAGGTGAGGTTTCCTTGTAGGTGTCCCACTGCCCTGTCCTTTTCGCTATATTAAATAGCTTCCTTGTTTTAAGTCTTAGCCCACTCAGCTTTTATTCCAAGGTGCATTCCTTGGTGAGTGAGTGGTCTTGGCTGGACAATTACGATAATACTCGTATGACAAGATAATGGCCTGTTGCAGCTGGTCAACAGATCGATCTGTGTCCCTTATCGTGCTTATATTTCACGAAATAATCTCTAGGTTCACCTTTGGATCATCCTTGTACACCTCCCAACTGGTTCTCCTGGGATTCCTGAAAGTAATTTGTTGTGTTTGAAAGCATATGTATAAAGACGGCTCATCAGATACATGCCAATTACTTACCAGGTTTCTTAGGTTATTTGTTCCTACTGTCAAATCAATAACCTCCTTCCTATTGCAGACCACAAAGGTAGGTTCATTACTATGGTTTAGAAGAAGGGTCTCTAAACTTTTCGAACCATGGGCTACATTAGGTAATTCAGCACTTTCAACGGGCCGGATAAAATGAGAATTTAATAACTCTAGGTATATGAGTTTTATTGAAAGCACAGAATTTCATAAACTAAATACAAAGAACATGAGAATAAATTATCGTATATTAATGACAACAGACAGTAGTAGCAAATGCTCATATTTTAATCACAAATTATAATAAAACAATGTGAATGATGGAACTCTTTTTGCATTCTTAAAATCTGATTAAATTAAGGTTCAAATTTTGAAATGCTAATCACAAGTAGCGACTTTAAATGTTCATCGGATAAATTTGCCCTGTATTTCGACTTGATGTACTTCATCTGGGAAAAAGTTTGTTCACACAGATATGTCGTCCCAAAAATGGAGATAAATTTACAAGCAAATTTCTTTAAATTTGGAAGTTGCTCAGAGTTCAGAAATTTATAAAATTCGATCAAATTTTCTTCCTTGTATTTATCTTTAATATGATAATTTTCCTGAAGTTCAATAATTTCCATTTGGAATTTGACTCGGGACATCTACAGCATCACAGTCAAACAGATTTTGAAACAATCATATTCCTGAGCACTGGCATCCAAATCAGCAAATCGCTTCCGAAATTGCTCTTTCAAATCTGAAATGACTAAATTTGCAAACGAGGAAGGAAACTCTGCTTCACCCTTTTTATGCAACTCTGCACAGTATAGCATACGAACAAAGTTACAATTTTTCACTTGCCTTTCCCGAAGGAAAGGAAAGAGACCACAGGGAAGACCAAGGCATAGGTGGGTGGATAATACAAGGTGGTTCAAATATGACCGGGACTGATTTTTTTTTTTTAACCAAAATTGCCAAACACTTACTTGCACATGTCAGTCTTCAACGTACTCCCCTCCGGAGTCAACACATTTTTCCAATGTTCTGGAAGCATCATGATGCCCTTTTCAAAAAAGTTTTGTGGTTGGCGGCGTATCCACTCCCAAACATTCTGGATGACGGCATCGTTGTCCACAAACCACATGCCTTGCAAGTCTGATTTGAGTGTTCCAAACAGGTAGAAATCACTTGGTGCCAAATCGGGACTGAACGGCAGATGTGTCAGAAGGTTCCATTTCAATTTCCAGAGGATTTCTATTGTTGTTTTGGCCGTATGGGGGGCGTGCATTGTCTTGAAGGAAGGCTACCCGCTTTCCACCTCTCTTCCGCTTGGATCGGATCTTTTCCTTTACGCCTGTTGCCAGGAGGTCTGAGTAATAAGCTGCATTGACTGTTCTGACATCTGTCAGAAAGTCTACATGGATAACCCCCTGCCAGTCCCAGAAGAACGTTGCCTCCACTTTTCCTGCCGAACGGCTCCTCTGCGCTCTCTTGGGTTTGGGAGAACTGGTACGCCGCCACTCGCATGATGATTTCTGGGAATCGGGAATGAAGTAGTGCACCCACGTTTCATCGGTGGTCACTATAGACTTCAAAAATGCATCACCTTCGTCTTCAAACTGCTGTAGGAGACGACTGGCAACTTGCATGCGCACCATTTTGTTCACGTTCGTCAAAGTGCGTGGTACTCACCGTGCATTCACCTTGCAATAGTGCAGGTGATATTTCACGATGTCTTCTACACTACCAACACTGATGGACAGCATTGCTCCAAGTTCCTTGATAGTGATGCGCCTATTCTCACGAATAAGTGCGTCTGCATGATCAATGTTTGGCTTGGTGACGGATGTTCATGGCCGACGATCATGCAGTTCATTCTCCACGCGCTCTCTGCTCTCTCCGAAGCACTTACACCACTCAAACACACAGGTCTGTGAGAGACACTCTTCTCCATACTGTTGTTGGAGTCTGTGGTGAATTTCAGCGGATGGGACGTTTTCTCCAACGAGGAATTTGATTACAATGCATTGTTCCACGATCCGTGGTACCTTCTGTACGCTCATCCCTCTAGCAACTCCCAGACAGCACTGAACAGGTTCTAACCCTAACAGGAGGGAGAGTGGAGGTTGTGGCTACAATCTCTCAAGGTTGCACAGCTGCTGCGCTGTGCGGCTTGTTTACAAAAAAATCGGACCCGGCCATATTTGAACCACCTAATATTAAGATGGTTCTTAGAGAGATAGGATGGGATGGTATGGATTGGATTGATCTGGCTCAGGATGGGGACCAATGGAGGTCTCTTGTGAACATGATAATGAACCTTCAGGTTCTGTAAAATGCTGGGAAATTCTTGAGTAGCTGCAGATTTGGCTTCTCCTCAAGAAGGGTCAGCTCCATGAGTAAGTAAGTAAAGTAATGTATGATACCCTATTGCTAACAAACTCTGCCCTTTTAGCTGCTGATACTACTCTCTTATGTACGAAAAACTGTACCAAATTCATTATTCTCATTCTCTTTTCCATAGAAAAATGTATATTTGCCTGCTGGTTCAGTGCCGCCTCCTTCCCACCTGAACTCCTGTACTCCTGCTAAATCAAGAAGGAAACCAACTCAATAAATGCCATGTATAACATATTTTCTGATATTTATTTTCTTTCACATGTTTGTAGTAAGTTTATGATATTAATAAACTTAATTTTTCTCTACATGTATGTTTTCCAGTGCAGGGGTATCTTGCATTCAGAATTGTCTTCCATTCAGCTAAATATGGTAGTGTACTTTAGTGCACTGTGGAAAAATTAATGCTACAAATTATTACAAGAACCAATCGGTCTACTAGAGAAAATTCTCTTTCTCATCTCTGTTCTTGAAATCTCTCCAAATTCTTTTCTCACACTGAAAAAGTCATTCTTGTACATGCATAGTAATTAAGGAAAACCATGGATAAAGTACGCAGTATTTCACTGAAGCAAATCAAGTGAGTGACAAATGAGTCAAATTGTAAATTGTGACAAAACTGAACAAGTATGACATGTTCTGAAGACGAACATGTAACCTGTGTCGTGCAGAACCTTACATAGCAAAGGAGATGCAAGTAGCACACCCTGTCCTAATCTAAATTCTTTTGTTACTTAAAAATTGCAGGTGGTAGAAAAATGTTCATTTTTGTAATCAACAGGAAGAAATACATAAATCACATTGAAACGTCTGTTCAGCAGTATAATTTACAAATATATTTTATCTTTAAATTTATTTGCTTTATTTTGCTTCCAGCTTTCTTTGAGACACCTTTAGAAGAATTTGAATTGCAGCTAATGGATGCCCAAGAGAGATTGTCTCAAGATATGGAATCACCTGAACAGCAACCTTATATTACAGTTCGTAGGAATAAAAGTCATCACGTCACTTTTGAAGACCAAGTTAAATCTCCAGAAAGTCACATCAAGCAAACTGTGGATATTTGTTCTCAAACAGATGTTTTGCTCATGAATTTGTAAGTAGATGCTACAAAACTTGATTAACCTGTAATTGGCAGGACTGAGTAGTTTAGATCTCTTGTATTGATGAATGGACTGGGAGCCAAATTTTAAACTGGGGATTTTAGCTAGTGTTGGTACATTATTGAAAGAAAGTGTTCTTGGAAAGTATTCATGCTGAAATATTCCAGTCAAATATATTTGAAAGATAACCCATTTCCAAAACATATAATATTCAGTTTTTTAACATCATTGACAAAAGAGTCCTTTTTGGGCCATAGCTTTTCTTAGAAGATTCTACCAGATTTGTTTATTTCTGGCTAAGATTTTCTAGTTTCTTTCCTCCAGAGCTTTAACATCATTGTCCACTCCGGCTCAGTTTAGTCCTTTCCCCTTCTCTTCATCCCTCCCACCTTTCTTGCATTAAGCATTCTTTTCGCAGGTTGCTTCTTGTCCATTTGTAAAACATGACCAGCCTGTTTCAACCTACCCGCTTTTATGAAGGTTATAATATCCATATCCTCTTACAAAGCACTCAATGCTTAATTGTATCAGATTCTCAATTCATTATTATCTTTGATTGGGGCATATATGGACCTCAAAACTTTTCTCTCGAACTTAGCAAAAGCTTTTCTTTCAGAGGTAGATAATACTCATATTTCCATTGTGTGTGTTAGGAATGACCTAATTAAAATCTTGTAAAGTGTGATTTTACTATTCCATGAAAGTACGTGTGATTTTCATTGGTTCTTTAATCCATAAAAACATTTATTAGCTATCAAAATTTGTTTCTTTATTTCCTGATTAATATCATTATTACACCAGACAGAGGACCCTAGATATGTAAATGCCTCTGCTACACCAAATGTATAGTTACCAATAATTATAACTTCACTTTGCTTTGCATTCTGATTTGTAATCATGAATTTTGTTTTTTTCTTGGTTTATTCTCAATTCCATTCTTGCTGCACCTTCTAGTGCAAGAATGGCTTGCTTAAGTGAGGGTTGGGATGTGGCCATTATGTCTGTCATCTGCTTATGCAAGTAACTGAACAGACTTACAAAATATTGTACCATTTGTTTATATGTCAGCATCTCTTAACTATCTTTTCAGTGCAATATTAAAAACAAGACAGGCCAGTGATAACTTCTGATAACTTTCTCTGTATGCAGTGAAATTTTCCTAAACAAAATACTTGATAACCTATCCCTCCATAGTTATGAATGATATAAAGGACAGGTTCTTTGAAGAACTAGAACATGTTTTTGATAAATACCCAAAATACTATACAAAAATTATGTTAGAGATTTCATTGCCAGGGTAGGTAGAGAAGATATTTTCAAACCAAAGATTGGGAATGAGAGTTTGCATGAAATTAGTAATGATAGTGGTGTGTGTATTCTTGTGTATAAAAATATCCAATTTCATGCCACTAATTTAGATCAATTTAATAAGGAAAAAGTACAGCACTATTGTTGACTTCCACAATTTACAGTTCACTGTTGTGCAAGCACTAGGATTCTGTTTCCACTAGTTGTCTTCCAGCAACAGATCTCAACATAGAATCTGTCACTTCAAATCACTATGAAGTCTTCTTATCTTCTACAAACTTCACGTGGCTGTCTCCTACTGAGAACTGACTGAACTGTGTGTGTTATTTTTGTTATATAGCCACCACACAGAGAACAAGTCAGATGGTTCCTAGCCAGTGTCTTCATTGGTGCACTATTACCTAGCAACATGCAATAACATTCCTCTACTGAAATACCTCTTCCACTGTTACTTTTGTGTATTCAGTCATGGTGGGTTTACCGGTCTGTTGCCTAGCAACGCTCTGGCCATCCACATTACATTATGTTGTCACAGTAAATCTACATCAGAATTATTTTTGGCGTCTTATCATTCAGATAGATAAGCAAGTCATGGAACTTATGCACATTGTAACGGTTTGGTATGCTTACAGTTTTATTCCCCCTAGGTTCTCAGGTCATTTTTGATGCACTTATAAATAATGTTAAACAAACCTGAGGATGAATAGTGGCAAAATCAGTTGAATGACTGTTTAGTTATGATGTCACATAGCATAAAACTCACTTTGTTTAATTATTTTAAGTGATCTAATGGATAGCTATAGATAACTGCAATCCTCTGAAAGTTATTATATCAGTTATGTAAGGAAGGCTGTAATTTGGAACACAATTAAAAGTCAATAAAATCACTAAGTAATGCTGGCTGTAGATAAATATTTTGAACATAGCATGACCACCATAATATTATTGCACAAGGCATCGGACTAAATGCAGCCAACATGATGTAATGGTGCTTGTATTTTTATAATGTTAGTGCTGTTTTGACATTATGTTATTGCTTCAGTTAACTAAATATGGTTCTTATATATCTTGCAATTCCTCTGCTAAACGTTAGTATAATCACAAAATATATATTATCTTTACTGTTTGAATCCTGCTGTATATCACGATTTGTAGTATTATGACTGTCAACACAACAATAAGAAATAAACCAATCAAATTATTTACATGTAAATCTACCATTTTAGCATAAATATAACTTGACCCAAGTTCTGCTTAAATTAGCCCAACATGCATATGAAGAAGGCTAGAAAATATGTTTGAAAGAAGTGAAGGTGTTGCAGTTGAATTAAACCCCACATACAGGAAATACAAGGAATCCTCCTGCATGTCTCTGGTAAATCATCTGCTCAGTGAACCCAGCTTGCCAAATTTGTGTGCATCAGTAATATACTTTAAAATATAATAATAATATAGTATGTAGACCCATTACTACTGTAGTGACCATGAAACAAACAGGTTCCCACAGCGAGTTCACACAAAACAATAGAGGAACTGTCAGAAACAGGATTTTCTATGCAGCCCATGCCGAGATATTATAAGGAGGACAACTGGAGCAAGAGTTTTGAGTTGTAAGGGAGTCTGTGAAGAGAAGACTTAGTCAAAGCAGTTGAGAGCCAGCAGGCGACGATGTCAGTGCAGAAGCTGAAGATTCTCCACTGTTAGAAGATTACTGGGGATAGACTGGTGAAGACTCAGCAGGCTAAAAAGACATACCATGTGTTGTAGTGTTGTAACTCATTGTGTGTTAAAGTGATCATTAAATCCAATCTCCAATGCAAACTCCATCAATGGTCACTCCTTCTCTTGACAGTAGTATCTGTGTATTCAAAATTACATTATCAGAGTTGAAATTGGTCTCTATTTTATATTTCCTGTCTTTATTCAGAATTACTTTGGACCTGTGGAAAATGATAAGAAGTAACCAAAATCATCCAATACATAAGAGTAATGTAGTATTTATAGCTCGAACACTGCGAATATTATGAAGAGCAAATGCTTAGTGTGTATGTTACAAACATGCAGATAGTGTAAAATAATTTTAGAAAAAACAAAGGAAACCAAACTTCATGTTTCAATAAATGCACTTTTGCCTAAGAAGACTGGTTTTCAGGAAATTTTATTAAATAATGAAACATATCACATATTACAGTTGATAAATTCTACATGTTACATAGA